ATTTTATGGCAAAATACACGTACACGCTATGTAACTTCATAGTGTTCTATATTGCGTATAACGCAGGTAATAGGTACTTCGTGGTTAATGGCAGATGGATCATTTTCAAACATAAGAACTCGATATAAAAAAGTGAATATTTATTTTATTTTTATTTGTTCAAGATGAATTTGAAGAAACCATACGCGTAAATTAGGTACACCTTAAACGATAAGAGTTCTCCAAACCAAAGTGCATGGCAGCACAAGGAGAAAGGAAACTTTCTAATCCTCAAGGCGAAACCCAAGACACGCACAAATATTTATAAATAATAACATAAAACAATATAAGTGCGGTTAAGAGTTCGCTACATAAACCTCTCCCCGAGAATAAATGGATTACTTGTGTCCGCGGCACGCCATCTCGCGGGGGGTGCGCGAAACTCTATGAGTTATTGTTATTGCGCGGATTTCCCTGCTTCCGAACATGTTTTCACTTACCGCCCCTCTTGTAGCAAACGTCGTAAAAATCTGGACGAAATATACTTATTAAATTGATTGTGTTTTGCAAACATTTGTTTTTGAGATGCCTATAAAAGTGGAATTAGGATTGTTCCAAACTTTGAATGTCTATTGCATTATTATTACATATTGGTTAATCTACACCCCTTTGAATATAAATGACATTTTATTAAGAAATATTCTTTAATCGGTCTAACTGTCATAATTAAAACATTAAATTATAATACTTATCACGAACCTACTCATTACGAATACTTTCAATAAAATTTGAATACCTACGTATCTGAACCATTCAAGTTGTTTTAAAAAATCAACGTCATGGCAAATTCAACTTAATGTCACGATAATAACAATACTTTTAGGCTTAATGTGTCTTTATAAAATAGTGATCACAATTTTAATTAAAGCTCTTAGCCGATATTTCTTTATAATATCATTCTGTATATTTTCTATATCTAGCTATTTAAATACTGTATTTAGAACTATTGCTTTTATAGTATTATGTACCTAGACTAGCAACATTTAGTGATTTATTTGTTCGGTGTGCGGATGGAAGTGTGATAATCTACTTTAAAAACAGAATTGTATACAAAACGACATTGTTTTTTTATTTGGAGACAGATCTAAATATTTTTTATAAGTTTCACGCAATAACAAGTAGCTAACGTTTACCACAGAGTGTATGAAGGCTTATTAGCAACAAGGTGGTAAGGCGAGAATGACTTACAAACCGACGGACACATATATTCACTTCAACGGTATGAACACCCGCGTTGAGAGTTGTGACGTCATTGTGCATCATGCAGCGGTGTTCTTTGAGGCAGAGAATGCTTGGTTCGTAATAAAATGCATAAAAACTGACTTAAAATTTCAGAAAATATGTAGAGTTGATTATTTACTCTTTTTCTTTTTTGAACAAATAGGTAACATGAGTGCGAAGATTTAGAAGATATCCTTTCCTGGGTAAATCTGTTTCAAAAATGTTTTTGTTTTCTGACACTTTAAAAGTAACATGATCTTATTAATTCAATGATCAAACCCTCTCTTTTTTTGAAGGACACGTGTGTACGAAGAAGGAATAGGTAGGTAGGTATCTCACTTTTAAAGATAGCTTTGTTTTCTAACTTTAAAAATATCTTGATCTTATTAACATAATGATGAAAACTTTCTTTTTTTGAACCAATAGGTAAAATCAGTGTGCGATAAAGGAATGGGTCTGTTTTCAAGATGGCTTTATTTTGTAATGCTTTGAAAGTAGGTACCGAGATCTCATTAATTTAACGACCAAAACCTACGTTCTACGCAAAACGGGAGTTGACTATCAAAACGATATTTACGAGTATCGTGATCAATTTTAAATACTTACTTTTAAAGAGAACATAATTAGTGTCCCAACTGTCTTATAATATTTATAATTTGTAATGAGTTTAGCCGCGATCAATTAAGTTTGTATGTCCGAAGATCATTAAGATCGTCGCTTGACCATTTTCATATAAAAAGAAATACCGAAGACCACACAGTGAGAGGAATCCGAACCGGTCCCAAAGACTTAATTAAACATTAAATAGACCGCTTGCCGCATATCTTTTCCAGATAAATATTTAAAAATGTGGAGGATTTTTTACATAAGAAATATTTTCACCACAAAACCTCAATTTACATTGAATATAAACGTGGTACTACAAAATAGAGATTTTATTTATTTTTATTTTCTAGATATCAATTCAATATAAGGATCGTCAACACTTTCAATTAACATAAGTAACAAGTCCATTCTCGTACATTAAGTATAAATTTTGGAATCATACAATGAACTGAATGTGTTACATATCTTGTTTGTTGAAAAACAACAATCCTCGAAAACAAATTTTATCTATAAACACTACACACCACAACATTACCAAAATTTTTGACTTATCGTCTAATCAATAGTAGGTACCTAAATTTTAAATAATGCATACCATTTTTCCACCGCCACCGCCATCTGCATTTCAGGTTCACATCGTAAATTTCGAAACGTCGCACACGCATAACGTTTATAATTAAATTAAATTTCAAATAGAGAATAGCAGAAACTGACATTAGGAACACGCTTCTTTCACGTTTAAAATCTCGAAACAAACTGACCGTTTAAGCGCTTTCTCTTTACTCGCAAAAAAAACTAATTTGAATTTTTATAGAAAATTGAATTTCTAGGAAGCGCATACGCAGCCCTACTACTGTACAAAGCTATTTGAATAACAAAAACTTTGTTTTTGCTGAAATATTTTATAAAATATTATTTTGAAATGTTTTTGTTTTTATGCCTAGTTTAAATCGTTTACATTTTTGTATTGTTCCTGACGCTGTTTCAAGGATGGGTGCAAGGCTTTACGATAATTATCATAATGAATCATTTAGAATGGAATAGAATAGAATAGAATCATTTATTTCATATTATCAATTTCATGATATCACAATTCGAAATATAATAACATGCTCGTCATTAAGATAAATAATAATTATTAAAATTATTATTTTATTTTATATTATTAATATAATATGAAATAATTAATTAAAAGGGAAATAAAGAAAAATAGGAACTACAATAATACAAATAAAAATTTAAATATTTTCAAAATAGGAACGTCCAAAATTAAACATTTTATTACAAATTCTTTAAAAGAAATTCCTCTACACTGTAGAATTCATTATCTAATAAAAGGTCTTTCAGTCCGGAACAAAACACTTCGTCATTTGTAACACTTTTTACTATTTGCTATACTAAAAATCTACCAGAAGTGCACCTGCTTTGAAATCAAAAATACTTGTTACTAAATTTGTTTGTATAAATAATACCCATTACATCACGCTTTGTACCAATATTCAAATTTTATAAAAAAACTGGTAAACTCCAGGAAATTTTAAGTTTAATCACGTTATTCATTATTTACTACTATTAATCACGTAAAATGAAATAAGCGCCATCTATGTGTTTAGTGCGAAACTCTTTGCGAGTTACAAAAGTTCAAAGCACTTTGAAAGCTCTAGGTACTCTACCGTGCATATCGTACTTTGTCTCTGTTAGAATACTGTATGTAATTAAATTTTTTTGTAATTTAAAAATTTTAAATGTAGTATTTTGTTGTTTATAGGTTAAACAATTAAATTAATTAAACTAAAACACGTTTAATAATTTCGTGATGTAGTAGGTTATTTACCTTTAACTTTGTGTGTGTTTTCTCTTTATGTATTTTGCTTAGATTAGATTTGCTTAGATTTGTACATATTATAATGATTTGCCATTAATTAAAATCCTGCCTTCCTGAAATCTCGCATCTCGCAGTCCCCATGTTAAATATTTCAGTAGAGCGCCATCTACACAACAACGGTTGTATTTCAAATCCCAGTCAAAGGTCTTGGATCGTCAACACTTGGTAAATAATAGTAAATTTTATAGTTATTTCATCATAATAGCAACGAAGTATAATTAATATTGATGCACTAGTTATTACACTTACCTATTAGTGTATTTAATGTATATGTGTATGGTAAAAATTAATTATCATAATGCCCATAAAATGTAAAGTAATTCCTGTCTTTTTTTTACTTTTTGGGTACTTACTCTCCGCAAAGGCTGATATGGTCTTATCACTTTTAGGGATTTTTTTGCGAACGACTGTCAGCAGCAGCTCACAATTTGCTCGTTATTGTCAACAGGGTGTAAGGATTATTTTTTACAAGCAAAATATTTAAGATTACAAACTGTTTTGGGATTTGTAAGGTTTTAATATTGATGATAGTGTTATATTATATAGTAACTTGTATTAATTATCTACCATGAACGATACTACTATCGCCTAATCGGCGCCTAATCGGCGCTGCAATAGCTAATTGATTAATGTTCATGAATTTAATTAACATTCATTTATTTTACGGTGAGCCGTATTCAATTAATATATTGTTTAAATTGTAAATTTTAGCGGAAGGTGAATGATTATAGCAGATTTATATAAGAGTAGGTTAAAGGCATTAAAAAATTTTTGTTAATTGAATAAATGAAAAATGAAATCTAGAAGCTCCGAGACAATGTTTGAGATACCTGACTTTGAGACCCACCCAATGCCCGAATATTATAAGAAACTCACACTTCTACAATATTTAGATGTGTGCTCAAAGAATTGGACCTGCTCCCGTCCCGTCCTTGCGACGCCATGTTAGTTTGTTTTCTGTCTCTTTCCTACCCGTACGCGACACATAGCAAGTGGCGTGAGAAAAAATATTTATTGCTATCTCTTTTGCACAAGTGGGTGTTTAGGGTGGGTAAGCTACTAGGAGATCTCTACGTCAATCGTTCTTTGGGTTTGAGAAGGGGCATGAAATTTTAAAGAAAAGTATGGTTGCGTTGTACCTACAGGGACTTGGGTGGGCACGGAACAAACTATTCGATACTTCTCTACTAGCCATGGCGGACGATCGTGATGGTATCTGATTATTTCTGTTGTAAGGAATGCGACTTACCTTTATGGCTACGTCTTGTACTTTATTTTAAACAGGTTCTTTCTGATTCAAACCATCTTGATGAGATCTGGAAATAAAAGTAGAGTAGTTTAATCGGTGATAATTATACAGTAGACAAACGGGGAGAGTTTTAATTGTTTCATATAATTGGACATGATACAGACTGGGATTTACTGTTCAAATATTTCGTTTATTTTAAAATACATATATAGAAGACGCTTGAAGAGAGGTTTTCTCAGAACCTGTTTTTATTCAAATTCACATTTTAACTACTTATCTGCATTATAAGTACAACAAAATTATAAGGATTTATAAATTTAGATACCCACTACTTAAAAAAGATACACGCACAAAAGAAATAAAGTTTATTTCTATGAGAAGTTATAGACTACAGAGTAGAAGATCTGTTTGCTTTTTAGCTGTAACTATGAATAAATACCGTGCGCGAAGAATTACTTAAAAGAAATCACTCACAAAAACTCTCTTTTCCTATAGTTACTCCTATTAAAATACTATAATAAGAACACAGTGGAAAATTCAAATAAATGCATTTCATTTGAAATAAAAACTCAAAGAGATTTAAATACCCCTTATTATTGTGCACAAGAACAAATACAAAACCATTTCATTTCAAAATCCATATAGGCAATAGTTACCAAGGTAGGTATCAAGTTCTTCGCGTGCACTGCTCACGTAAGGCAGTCCCCACACGGTCGACTCATAAATTAAGCATGTACTGCACTAACATCGATTATTTACAACCACATACCTGGAGATAATCTGTTCTAAGTGCGCGTTTTACTGGCCTCTCGCTCTCCACTTCACTTTATTGTAACTTAAGCAAATATTAACGAAGAATTTATGACTACAATTTTTAAACTATAAGATAGAAGTACCTATAGTCGACGTTTATAAAAGACTCTGTCAATGTGTAAAAGAATCAAGACACCCTCACATAATATGTGGGTATAGGAATGTGGATGGTAGATAAGCCGAAAATTTACGTAATAAATAACAATGAACGTAATAATGTAATATTAGATTTCAATTTGGGAAACCAATATTTCTCACGAGGGATGAACCCCTTTAAATCGATTTATTCATACAACGAATAAATTTTCCTCGCAGCCTTTATAAAGGGCAAATAAGTGGCAATGAATGAAAATTATAGTGGTCTATAAAAATTAATTTACTCAACTCCAAAGTAAAGGGCAGTGAGCAGAGAGCGAGAACCGCGTAACCCCGCGATCGCGTGATTGATACGCAATAAACCGAATTTATTACGAGACCGCCATAAACGCGCGCCCGAATGGCTAATCATCTATTAATCGCAATTTAACGCATCAACACTGTCAAATAATACTTGAAAGAACAAGCGATAAAACGTTTATTACTACACTCTTATTCGTGCGTCTGCGCCTAGTAAATAGGCGCCTCCATTTGTTGAAATCGAGACCTTAATGCGTCGCAATAAAAAAATGCATAAACTGGCATAAAACCACACGGAAGGAGGTACAATACTCCATAACCTACCGCAAAACTTTGACATTACAACGTGCGATTGTTTCTTTGTTTATCGAATAAAATTTATAGGTAACTGCGTCGGTTTATGAGAGGCGTAGTATGGGCGTTGAACTTTAAATCGGCTGATTACGGTTTTTTAATGGCTCAACTGTGGATATTCGTTAATATTGCATTGTTTGTCGCCACTTAAGCGGTCGTGGGTGGTGCAAAGCATTGTTCAGCAAGGACCCTAAAAATCGAAATTATTTTTGCCGTTCCCCACAAGCGTATGGTGTGTGGAAAGGCTTAAATAATTTCCTGAATTAATTAAACCCTTTTAGCCTGTAGCTGTCGTGTGCTTTTTAAACTGAAAATACATTAGTTACACACAATCTTTGATCAGAATAATATTTACACTCAGCAATAGAAACTTCGAATGATATTGAATGTCTATGCAACCATATAATCGTATGCAACCCCTATCCTTTTACGACTTTATAGCAATTTATCATCTTACGTTAAGTAATAAGTAATTACTACTTTTAATAAAAAGTACCTTAACTAAATATATGTAACGTAATAAAATAGGTAGCTCGTTCTGTAATCCATTGAAAGGCCGTTGCGCGCGCGCCCATCACCCAAACACCGGTTGTTTAGTGATGTTGTAAATCAAATCATCAATTATCGACAACCGTTTACACTCGCGACGCCGCCGTGTAAACAATCCGGACATTAAAACTTGCTACCTACGTTTTACGACTATTCAATTTGGGGGAAAATCGATTTTATTCGCTTGCTTTTCAATCGATTCACGGGTAAAGTCGCTCGACGATAACGGCGGTTAAAAAGGTTTGAGCGTGGATTCTGAATTTTTTGTTCAGGAAGTGGTTTTGAACCGTAGGAGGAAGGAGGTAAACAATGGCTGATGTAAACTTAGGATTATTTACAAATGCTCGCAGAAGAAACAAAGGATGCCAAGTCGATTGACCAGGCTGCAGTACCATCAAACTTGGGATATTTGGAATATTTCCAACTACTGTCTGGTTAATGTTTGGCAAATTCATGGTGCAATCCGGGTGATTAGATGTGTGCAAAGAACGGGAATATATTTGACAAATGTAAAATGTAGTATGCAAATATAACATAATCTGATGTTTCACGATTTGATTACAATAAAAAAATTAATACTTACAATTATTTATTCACTTTTTCTGAAGGCAAATAATCATACGTTCAACTAAGAATAGTGAATACAGACTTATATTTTTAAAGTATAAAAGCAAGAAAGTGTAATTATTATTCATGGAATGCACTTCACAGCGAGCACTGAAAGCCAATTAACACTTTCACGGTCCGGGTAAAAAAGTTATAAAAACTTCTTCTGAATTCCCAAGTGTCGCCATCGAGATGTCATACTAGACTGAGTCAATGCCCCGACAATTGTACCACATATTTACGTTAACAAAACACTAACAAATTGATATGTTTATCTACAAAGGACTATAAACTCATTCAGACACACCCAGCACCCTTTATCAAGGGGACCCACCCTTCTGATTTAAAAAAAATGCAAAATATTACATAAATAATAAAAAGGGCCATCTTCCCCTGTAGTATCCCCTATCTGTGATACAATTTTGGCGAACTCATAGTTCCGAGGAAATGGTCTGTAAAGTTTCCTATGACATTTAAATGTATGAGATCATTATTTATGAATGCATATCCCATCGGCCCAAAAAATGTTTAATTACATAGAGATATTTACCGAAATAAAGAAATAAACTTTTTTAAATATTACAACACATTTTAATATTATTAACTTATATTATTAAGTACTTTGTTATGTTAATGTTTTTTTTTTGTAACATTGTAATTGTTTTAACAGATTTTCCCCGTTTTCCCCTCCAAAAACATATAGCAAACGTCAACATTTACATGATTTTTCGATATTCATAACCCGCACAGCATCTCCCACCCTTTAAACATCGATTTTTCTAACCCTGCATCAGCTAAAAAAACTGAATAGGGGTGTTCTGTGTTTTAATACACACCGTGATGGTTTGATGGGAAAAGTTGGATTGCCTCGGGGCATTAAGACTAATCATAAACTAATTGATCTTGTGGGAGTGGGAGTGAGTAATGAGAATAGTTGTTAGTTATCGCCGCGAACTTCTCGAGGGTGTTCTTATATAATATAATAGATTTATGTACATCTCTTTAGCTTTTGTATAGAGGAGTTACTACGTCTAAAGCAAGATGCAAAAGTACCTGCAACAACAACAAAATTACAAAATTTCTTTTTCTTGACTCATCTATTTTGATTACGTAGTTTTAGTTACTCAACCTGTGTGTACTTTCAGTCTGTACAATATAAAATGTAGGGCGTCCATATCTTCCGTATCTTCTCTAGTCAGATAGGTATATAACTGCCCTTGTCGTCTTTTTTTCTCAAGATATTCGAATCTGTCTTTGGCCAATCAATTTGCTGGTCATCAATGGATGCTGAACGCGATAATGTGATTACATCAATTAATATTATAGATAGGGTAAAACCGGGATAGATGCCGCAGTGGGATAGGTGCCTTGTTTTCAAAAAACCTAACTTCCCCAAATAGCAACAAAGAATAATTAGTTTAAATAAGAAGTATAGACACCACTCATCAAGTTGCTGCAGGACTTTGTGTGGAATAGACGCGTTTGGCTTGTGCATGCATTTATCTCCGCGACGACCATGACAAACTGTTCAAAATTTCAAACGCAAATATTTACTGTCGCATAACTTTGTAAGTTATAATAAATTCCGTTTTATTTTTATTATAACTATATACTGGTTCTTTAACTGCATACCTAGGCTTCAATAATCGCTCTTTTGTATATAGCTTAGTTAAATAATCAAAGGGCATCTATCTATATCGAATAGGATAGTCGCCTCGATTTTTCGCGGTATAGATGCCCGTAGGGGCAAAGGACAATACAAGAAAGTTAGGAGAAGAAAATAAAAAAATACATTATTTTAGTGAAAAAAACAAGTAAATGATAATAGTTTAAAAGTAAGTAAAAGTACCAAAAGACAATTTATCACAGTTCAAACAGCGAACATTTTTGTATAGAATGTTTTGATAACTACAAAAATACGAAGTGAAGTAGGTAGTAACTTTAAATACATACATATTTATTATTAAAAAGTTGTAATATGTATGTACAATATATTAAACATTACAAATAAAACATTATATTATGAATTTTACTATTGTATTCTAAAGGGCATCTATCCTTCTATCCTCAAAAAAATTGGTTTGCAAAAAGTCAATTTCTTCAAAATCAGTAAATATTAGATCAATAAAATCAAGTCTTAATGTAAACTAGTTATATCCTTAGGATTTATTCATGGTAAACTAATAATTTTTAAATTAGGAGGCCCTTTGAAAAAGTGGGGCATCTAACCCGGTTTTACCCTAATGTCAACAACGGTGTGTGTACATTTAATATTAATTTTATCTATAGACAGCTAAAATAATCCCTCGCCTCTAATTATCATATGTCTAAATATTAAAATTATGATTA